CAGCCAAAAAAAACTGAAAAAAAAAAAATCGCCGGGCACTGTGGCAGGCACCTGTAGTCCCAGCTAATCGGGAGGTGAAGGCAAGAGAATTGCTTAAGCCCAAGAGCTGGAGGTTGCTGTGAGCTGGGATGCCACAGCACTCTACCGAGGGTGGCAAAATGAGACTCTGTCTCTAAAAAATAAAATAGCCAGGCGTTGTGGTGAGCACCTGTAGTCCCAGCTTTTCAGGGGACTGAGGCAAGAGTATGGCTTAAGGTGAAGAGTTTGAGGTTGTTGTGAGCTGTGACACCACAGCACTCTACTGAGGATGACAAAGTGAGACTCTGTCTCAAAACAAAGTGACTTCAGTCTAACAAATATAGGGCAGCATGTATGTGTCCCAAGAGCACAGCTCTGCAGATGTCCATACTGTGCAGTCAACACGCAGCTCTAGAACACTTACCACTTAAATGAATTTCCTCTGAGTATTTTTCCTCTGCCTTGTTTCTTGTTTGTTTGTGATTATTCTGTATCTACAACTCTGAATTTTACCTTTTAAATTTAGGACTATAACATAAGCATTATTCACATTATTACAAATTCTTTGTAAATCTCACTCTCATTTTTTTTTTTTTTTTGGAGACAGAGTCTCAAGCTGTAGCCCTGGGTAGAGTCCTGTGGCGTCATATCTCACAGCAACCTTCAACTCTTGGGCTCAAGAGATCCTCTTGCCTCAGTTTTTCTATTTTTAGTAGAGATGGTGTCTCACTTTTGCTTAAGCTGGTCTTGAACTTGTGAGCTCAAGCAGGCCTCCTAGAGTGCTAGGATTACAGGTGTTAGCCACCACAACCAGCCTAAATCCCACTCTCGTTAGCTTCAGACTCCTCTGTTAGATAGATAAATGAAAGCCAGTGTGGGCATCTGGGTACTGTTTTGCTTTTATAAACAACACTGTGTTAGACATCTTTGTGCAAAAAGCTTTCCCCATAGCTATGCTATTTCTTTAGGGCACATTCCCACAAGCAGAATTCCTAGATCAGAGGGCCTGAATATTCTGAAATCCAAGTACAGTGACCCTGGTGGAGCACCTTGTGGGGCTCACTTCTCATCTACTATCTGATGTTGAATCTCTCAGTCACATTCTATGGATTTGTTTGTCTCCTTTTTTTATGATCCAAAGATACATCTGAATGTTTATTCCATTTTAATACCAGGCTAAAAGTTAAAGGCTGATTTGGAGCCAACTATTAATTATTAATCATAAGAAGGACAGGAATAGCTTGTCAATATGAAAAGGAACCCAAGAAAAATCCCCAAATCAGCCACAAAGTGGGGAGGAGGGGAGAGGAGAGAGGTGAGGCTGGCTGCCCTGCAGGGAAGGGCCCTCCAGGAAGCAGATGGGTGCCTCTGAAGGCCTGTATTACCCTCTCATCTTCTCTGAACTGTCAAGTGACTTCTTGGTTCTCAAGCCCTGGCTTTGGGCCCTGAGTAGAGATCTGTGAGTGAGCTGTGGTCAGAGAGATCCGATCTCCTTCCTGTGCAGCTCTGCTTTCCTGTCAGATGAGCCCGCCTATGCCTGGCAGTGCCCACGGTTGAGGCTGAGAGAACCTGTCAGGGTGGGAGCAGACATGGAGGCGGAGGGAGAGTGGGTGGACAGCCGCAGAGGAGGGCTGTTGAAGAGCCCTGCTCCCTGTTTCTGCTATTAAATGGCAGTTGCAAATTATCTGCCTCCTGCCAGCCTTAATTTGCTGAGAGGCCCATTCTTCCTTCCCACTAGAAGAATGCCTGCCTTTTCCTCTTTTTGAAGTAAATGGATTTGGGATAGATGATGTGAACCTAGTGGGCATCCTCTACAACAGGACAAATTAAGGGGCAGTCAAGCAAGTTTTTGGTGCTATGAAGGGATACTCATGGGTGTGCATGCCTTAGTTTCCCCACTTGTGAACTGGACCATATATATATTTTCTTGGGGTGTTTTTGAAGCAACTCTTCAGAGTATTGTGAAATCCCTGGCAATAAAGAAAAATGATAATAGGGCAGTGCCTGTGGCTCAAAGGAGTAGGGTGCCGGCCCCATATGCTGGAGGTGGTGGGTTCAAATCCAGCCCTGGTCAAAAACTGCAAAGAAAAGAAAAACAATAATAATAAGACCAGCTGATTGGCTAGTTAAACACCAGGCTGCCAGCTGTTGGTGTTCATTGTGGGTTTATCACGGGGAACCAAACATCTGTGGTTTGTCTTTGTGTGTTTGTGTGAAGGTTCAAGAAGACATGGCAGCTGCAGACTCTGAAAGACAGCAAGACCAACGCGCATCCACCATATGCCTTGGGGCAGCTGGTCCCCGAGAGGCCCACACCCACCCCGGTGCTTGTTCCTCTCATCTCCCCGCCAGTGTCCCCCAGCAGCCTTGGGTCTGACAACACTCTGAACCACAGCCAGCCAGATGCCAGGGAGCCCCAAAGCCCTTATGACATCAGCAATCAAGACTACTTCTTCCCCAGATAGCTGGCAGACTGGGTGCCAGACATGCTGACCGCCAGGGTGATGGAGCACCGCTCAGTGAAAGGCGCTCCTGACTATCATGCCAGCCCTCAGGGGCATGGGGCCTCTGGCTTCACTTTTACAGAACAGCTTCGCACCCTTCTACTCTGGATGAGAAATGAGTTCGCTTCATCTGCTCAGAAGGAAAAGGTGGTTGAATTTTCAAAGCTCCCTTCCCAAATGCCCTGCTTAAAGGTGCTGGAGCAGACACAGGCCATGTCTAGACTCTGCTGGACACCCAGGGGGCACAGCCTGTGCAAGCCTCGGTGTGAGAAGCTGCTGGCCACTACCTTGCTGGCCACTCCTCATGCTGTAGCCTTAGGCAGGCAGGATGTGTGTCCAGCCAAAGATCCCCCAATGCCCAGCTCCTGGCCCCTAAGCCTGTTTATCTCTCACCTCAAACTCTTGGAACTCTGGTGCCTTTGCAGGTGCATTTTTCTAGGCTTAAGGATGGCTTTTACTGAAACCACAGAGGCCGAGGGAAGAAGGCTCTCCTGCCTTTCTTCCCCACACTTGAAAACAGGTGGGGGTGGGTGGGTGGGTGAATAACACAGTATCTCAGGACGAGATGGTTTTAAGTGGAATTATAATTAGTCTCTCATTAGCATTTTGCTAAATGTGAATGATAATTCTCGGCATTTGCTGAATACAGAAGCCACTGCACTGGCTTTAGATCTCAGGAATTCTGGAGGGAAAAGTGGAGATGAAGGAGGGGAGTGGAGGACAGGGTCTCCAGGGTCTCCTTTGGTGGGGGAGCTGAGGCAGCCCACAGCCTCCGAGCTCTCTGCCCCCATCAATGGAAAGCAGGCAATAGAGCAGGCTTCTGCTAGGGTTGAGACCAAAACTGTTTTATTCCAGCTTTATTTTTTCAACTGAGGGAAGATAATATTCATGTGAAAAGAGAAAATAACCCAGCAAGAATGTTTTTTAATTTGGTTTTTAAAAAATTGCTGACTATTTCCTCTGCTGAGTGTGGCAGATCCAGTAATCACTGGGTGTCAGTGTATAAATAATTTGGGGGTGGGGGGAGGACGGGAGGCTAGTCACTTCATCTAGCCCAAAACTGAGTTAAATGAAAAAGGAGGAGGAGAAAAAAATATTTTTCCCTACTAGAGAAGAGATTCTGGTTTCATTCTATGTTTTGTTTTTGTTTTAAAAAGTGGAAAAATAGCCTACCTCTTCTCCACTCCGGGGGAAAGCAGCTTGTGACTTCATAACCCCAGCGGTTAAACAGGAAAGTGCCGTCTCACTCCCTCTGGTTACACAAGGGGAGCAGCCTCCCACGATTACTAGGCAGGGTCCTAGAATTCCCCACCCCGTGAGGTCTCTGCTATCAAAGTGGAGGTTCATTTAAAAATTCCTAACCTCGATGCCTTCCTCTTTTTGTTTTCCTAGAGGTTGATTCAGCTCAGCTGGAAAGGAAACACCAACTAAATGTGTAGCCTTGACATTGTGACTAACACTTCAGCTGACTTCTCTGTCCAGGGTTCGAAAAATTAGTGATTAGTGGTTACCCAAGACAGGTGCTCTCCAGGACTGGGGTATCCCTGTGTGGCACTGTGATTAATTTCAGTCCTGTAGTCACAGACTCGAGTTTTACCAGACCACAGAGCTTTTCTAGTGGTCTGCCCTTTTAGAAAAACCACCACCCCCAGACAGGTACAAAAGGATGAAAATGACTGTTTTATTTGCTGTTTGCTGGGTTCAAGCTATTGATATCTTAAGCAAGTAGTGATTTTCTTTGGGGGCTTCGAACCTTTTAGATCCGGTTGCTGCCTCAGGCAGCTCATCTAAAGTTAACAAAAGCCTGGAGGTGTTTATGGTGTGTGTTTTTTTTTTCTCTATAAAGTTTCTGGGACTTAAACAGCAAAAATGCTGTTAAAGGGAAATATTAAAAACGAGAATTTGCACGAGAAAGGGTGATTCTGTGCCCACGGTTCTTTAATTCTTTACACTGTTTTACCCACATCTAGTACTACCAAAGCTGGGCAGAGCCGGGCTAGTGGAAGATGTGAAATCCAGATAACTCATTATCGCTCAGAGCACGGCAGCTTTGATCTTCGAATTGTTATTGCTTTCATTATTATTGTAACAGAACTGCTTTTCTTTTTTTTAATTGAAGGAGGGTTTTCCCCTTCATTTTTCATAAGCTAGTACCAATGAAGGAGGTGTCTGTGGCTCTGCCCCACAGGCCTCACTCAGTGCAACACAAATCTATGGCCTGAGCTTTCTCTGTCCTTTACTCTGTGGTGACTGGACATGAGTCTGACTCACAGGCCCATCTTACCTGTGTCTCTGCAGCACACCTGCTGCCTTGCACGCTCAGTAGAGCTGCGGCTCACCTCTCACCTGCCACTGTCCACCACGCAGCCGGATGTGAAATGTCGGCACAGAGACGATTTAGAGTAAGCATGACAACTTACCTTTTTGGGTAGGAAAAGCAAAAAATATGTTGGTTCAAGGTCTAAAAATTAAAGTGATCTCATTAATTCTTGAAGCATTAATGAAATATTTCAAAGATATTTCAAAGATATATTCAGCATTGGATATATGTGAGGCATTTGGTAAACCTGAGACCTCTTTGCTCTGAGGAGACCTTGCCCTGGTGCTCTGTTCACCAGACTCTGAGCTCACCCCGAGTCCTCGGAGGTCTCTGCTGCCCTGGGAGAAAGGAAACTGGTCATGATGACACAGTGCAGAGCCTGCTGTTAGAGCTAGGCAGGGGGTCCACTTGGTGGAGAAAAGGGCCCAGTGGGGCAGGCTGGGTGTACGTGTGGTTTGTGGGTTTTCTGGAGAATGTTCAGGAAACCTCTGCACAGCTGAGCTATGTCATCTTACTGTAGGGCCTTAAGGCCGACCCAGCTAGAGAGGGTGCTAACACCCAGTTCCAGGTGGAGTTGATGAGAAATTGTCTTAATTTGGAGACATGGCGGGGTAACCCATGGTCCACTGGGGCCTGAGCCCCATGCCCAGTGTCCTATGTAGCTATTGGCAGCAGGCTGCTGAGGCATGGGTAGGCCAACCAGGCCACCTGTGCCACATGCTCCTGAGTGTCCCCTAAAGGTCCTTCCTGTCTCCTATCCTCAGTGTGGTGGGTGCCAGCACCAGGGGTCTCCATGGCAACCTCAGTGATTATTAAGGAACGCTGTTTTATAAGAACTACTTTAGAAGGAAAGGGTTGGAACAGCATGTAGCAAGACTTAATTGATAGCCCCTGCCGGATGGAAATCATGTCTGTTAAATAGAATACCTCAACTCTGTGCTGTTTGCTTGAGGAGAAATGATAAGTTTTAAGTTTTTTTTTTGTTTGTTCTGTTTTCTTTCTTTCTTTCTTTCTTTTTAACCTAATTACCTAGAAGCAAATACCAAAGGCTGACGTCTGTATACGGGCAAGGTGTCCATGTGGTATGTTTTACAATGTTTTTCCTTTTAACCAGCTATTTTGCATTTAAAGTGAAAATTGTAAATGTTTGCAATAAATAATTTCTAAAAACACACTTGGGATGTAATTATACTGTAGGTAGCGGTGTCATTTAAAAAACAACTTGTGTGAATAATGAGAAAGGAGCAAGGAAGGATGGGTAATTAAACTGGACCATTTGGAGTGGGTTTCCCCTTAATGCAAGTTTAAAGTACCTCTGAAAAAAATTAGGTAAGTTCAAGAAAGAAGCAGCAATTTCTCAAAAGGCTCTATTTATGAAAGTATTTCCCAAAATGAGTCCCTGTATTTCTGGAAGGGGTATGTGTGCTTTTGCCATGCTTACTGTCATTACCAGATGACAGGTGGGGAAGGAAAAGGAAGGGCTGTTATCATCAGAAGATGTTATGGGGGGGCTGCTGACAGTCTCACCAAGGCCACCCACGGCTCTTGATTGTCAGATAGGCTGAATCTTCCCCTATTAAAGTGGAAAAACCTGGACACAGCTATCTATATCTTCCAGACAGGAAATGCCATCAGGTGGATGCCTTGTACATAAGAGTCACTGTAAACAGTTCAGGGCTGGGAGGAGGAAACTGCGGGGAAGCCCAGAAACTATGTAACTCAGACTGAAAGTCAAAGTGTGAGGCATCTGCTGCTTGGCTTGGTTTCCTTCGGGGGAGTCACATTCTCCTCTTTTGAGGTTGGTCCTGGTCTTGTAGCTGGAACCGGCTGTTCCCTATTGCACGAGGCTGCCTGGTATGGGAGCATGGGAGCGTGGGGGCATGGGAGTGGGCCTGGGAGCCAGGAAATAGAAGGAGCTGTTTCTCTTTCTCTCAGCATCACTGTTGGGATGACATGGTTATGATGCTCTTTCTGAAGAATCTGGGAGCACAGATGGGGATTTTTGTAGCAGATGATAAAGAACACTCAGTTACTGGAACAGCTTCATAAGAAAGCATTTTCTTTATTTACAGAGGCACAAGGAAACCAAACCTTTCTGCAGATTTGTGAGAAGTAAGGTCAGGCAGGAAACGGTGTTTGCAGAGGTGCACAGCTGACAGACCCTTTTACTGTTCAGAAGCAGGGCCGCTGTGTGCAAGGGTTGGGTAGGGGGTCTGAGCATGGGGCCTGCTGCTCACACAGTTGTGAGCCCTGACAGAGAGCCCTGTACTGTTCTTCAAGTACTGATCAGTGCTTAATTGTTTGTTTTTTTTTTGAAACAGAGCCTCAAGCTGTCCCCTTGGGTAGAGTGCTATGGCATCACAGCTCACAGCAACCTCTAACTCCTGGGCTCAAGGGAGTCTCCTGCCTCTGCCTCCCAAGTAGCTGGGACCACAGGTGCCGGCCACAACGCCCGGCTATTTTTTGGTTGCAGCCGTCATTGTTGTTTGGTGAGCCCAGGCTGGATTTGAACCCACCACCTCAGGTGTATGTGGCTGGTGCCTTAGCCACTTGAGCCACAGGCGCTGAGCTGAGTGCTTAGTTTTTAATGAAGAGTCTGTTTTTGGATATATGTTACGTAAACAAAACACTATTTCAGCCATGTCCTATTTCATCCCAAAAGAGTTGTACATAATAACCCAAAACATGAATTAAATTAAGTCTATCAATGGTACACTCACTACAGGTGTATGTAATATTCAAGTAAGGATGATCTTTCTTACAAAATAACATCAAATTGCTTAGTAAAGCTGCCCAATGTCCTCAAAGAAAATAACTTACTGTATAATAGGAAGCTGTATTTGGTATTTCATAATTTTAAAAGAATAAAATTTATCAGGAGGGAAATCGTATTCCATTTTGGTTATGTTCTGCTCAGTAAGAGTGTTTAAATGGTGGATTTATGTGGGACACACTGGAGTCTGTGAGCCGCAGCAGGTGGAAAGAACTGAGAGTGGAGACCCAGTGACCTGCACACCCCACCGGCAGCTGGTTCTGAGAAACACAGGGGCTCAGGGGCCGGGGAGGAACCACCTGCAGGGATTCCAGTTCTGTAGGTCTGATGTAGACCCCAAAGAGCTAACCAAGCTGCCCAGACAGCTCTGATGAAGGTGGTGATGGTTCTTGAGAGGGACACAGACTGTAAGCTCCCATGATGGGACAACGAGGCTAGGCTGGGGGCCTTAGCCAGCAGGACTCATGTGCTTCAGCGGGTTACTTCAACAGCCAGTCTGTGTGATGGGAGAGAGCCAGGCTCCACCGCCAGGCCCTGGGGATCAAAATAGCAGGTGTCTACCGCTCTGAGTGTCAGTTCCGAAGGGGATTCTGCTGTGCAGTCAGCTTGGAGATCTCTGTGCTACAGGCTTGGAAGTTAGGATCCTACAGCAACATGCTACAGCAGCTATTAATTGAAACAAAAATCTATGAGAGGCTCGGTGCCCGTACCACAGTGGTTACTGTGCCAGCCACATACACTGAAGTTGGTGGGATCAAACCCGGCCTGGGCCAGCTAACCAACAACGACAACTGCAACAAAAAATAGCCAAGCGTTGTGGCAGGTACCTGTAGTCCCAGCTACTTGGGAGGCTGAGGCAAGAGAATCGCTTGAGCCCAGGGTTTTGAGGTTGCTGTGAGCTGTGACGCTATAGCACTCAACCCAGGGTGACATAGTGAGACTCTGTCTAAAAAAAAAAAAAATCTATGAGAGGTACCACCAGCACTACTGGTCATTTTATGGTGGAGATGGCATATTAAAATTAGCTAATAATAATGGCTACCCTTTACTGACACTCTGCCACACACTTTATAAACAGAATAGTTTTCTTTATCCTAATGATGCTGCAAAGTATTTTCACCTATTTATAGATAAGACAGCTGAGGCTTATCATGATAAAAACAGTGGTCCAAGGTGCCAAACGACTTAGGCTGAGCCAGACTCCAGCCTGGGTTTGCCTGACTCCAAGGTTAAGGGCTCTTTGCTATTGCTCTAGGGCTCAGCCCTGCCCCCCATTACCAGACACTGGTGACCACTTCAGTGGACCTCTATTACCATCCCCTTCCCTATGCCATGTGTCTTTGCTCTGTGCTGGGTGGGGGCCTAACCACCCCCCTAGAAGAGATGTGCCCTGTGTAAGCAGGGACTGAAGCTGGGCCACATTCAGAGGCAAGGCTTCCATAGACAGCCCCCTGGTGGCTGAGGAGGGGAGTCACAAAGGGCAGTGGCACAGCTGGCTCAGCAGGCTCCCTGAGCTCAAAACTCCTTTATCAGAGGTCAAATCCAACCCTCCGGATCGGCGCCTATAGCTCAACTGGCTAAGGCGCCAGCCACGTACACCTAA